CGTTGACATTTTGTCGGGGTAAAGAGTGGAGCCTGTTCATTCAGCGGCATATTTCTATTACAAATTATTTGATGCAACAACTGCCCATTAATATGTGGTAAGCATAAGAGGACTATCCTCTCAATTGCAGCCTCCAGGCATGACCAATACACAACCACACTGACAACCACAGCAAAAGGGCCCATTAAAGTATACCTTTTATTATGACATGAGTAATTTATCTGGTTGGTTGTTTTTTTTTTTTCTCTCCACAACTCAGAGAAAAGGAGGACTGAGGGTCACGGAGACTGAAATATCCTTTGGCTCAGGCACTAGTTTCTCCAACCAAGAATGAGAGAACACTAGGAGAAACTATTTGGGGAGCTCTATGCTCCAAATTCCTCCCCTCTGTGCAGCTAGCAGTAGTCCTACCTTCTGTCTACAGCTAAGGTCCAGCACCTCCCATAGGTTACAATTTAACATTTTAAAGTTAATGGATCTAACCTGAGGTGATACTGTTAGGCTGCACATACATCTCCTCTTCCACCTGGAAAGGTCACTGCCCTCCATACCAAAGATCATCACTATCTGAGATCTGCCAGCTGAGCTGCTTATATATGTGCTCTCCCTTCAGCCAAAGTGAGGGCAGCTGGCAAAGCATACTGCTTATACGTCAGCTTGGCTTGTTTTGACTGAAACACTCAAGGTGTGCTTGTAGGAGCAACTCAGGCAGCAGATCCAAGGGGCCAGTAACTTCCAGCAAAGGCACAATGTGCTCTTTGACCAGCCCTGCTGTGAGCAGACAGTAAAATGCAGCCTAATTCTTGTGACATTTGTGAAAGGAGCTTTCAGAAGAGAAGTGTGCAAGCAGTACGTTACCAGGGAATGAAACATCTTTGTGGTTTGCAATCTGCCTTTTAATGGTCCACCATTTACTCCGGAGCCACTGTGGTGAGCGGACACTACTCCATCCTTCAGCTAGTAAATCCCAATTGATGTCATTTTCATCAGAAACTTCAAGTTCCGCTATCCTGGCAGGATACAGAAAATATTTACCTGTTAGAAACTACCCTCCAGACTGGAAGGGGTGTTGCACATCTCTGGTCTCCTCACACGAAACAGCAGCAAAATGGCATGCTAGTGAACAGTCCCACCAGGGCTCATGAATCCACCAACACAGGCTTCCAAGGCGCCACGCTGCCAGAGGTCAAGCAGAATCATGAACAACAGAAGATGGACTAGACCTGTTAGATGATCCAGCCCATCTCCTCGCCATGCAGGAGTACTCTCCTTATTTACATATACATTAGGACTTGGATCAGATTATTGTGAAGCATTCCAAATGATGGTACTTGCATCTTTTCTCTTTAGAAAACCATTCCCCAAACACGTCTCCAAGGCAGGAAATACTTCCCGAGATTCACTCTGAACTTTCACTTAATTAATTTCATGTTATAATATTTACTTGTTTTTTCCTAAATAACACTCATCCGTCCTTAACACAGATTTTTTGCCTCCTCTCAGATGCTTCTTAGCCAAGGTAGATGAAGTTAGCTACAGTACTAAATAGTCCCTCATAGATCACTCCCATCGGGTTCTCCAGGTAAGAGACAGTCTTCACACAATTTTGGCAGATGTTATACACACACTGGATTCTACTGGAATCCATCTGAATACTATAGTATTTCTGCATTGCCTCCAGCTCATCAGTACATAGAGCATATGAAAGAGAAGTGAACAGTGAGAGGGGAAAAGATTTTTGTGGCAGTTAAGAAAAGTTCTCTTCACAAACCAAGCAATAGCACTGAACCCTTTTGCTAGCTAACAATACTTAAAAAAGAAAAAAAAAAACAAGAAAAAAAGAAAAAAGGCTACCAAACCCAATCCTGCCGGATGAGTTAAGGATATCTGGACAGACCAAAACAGATACCATTTGTACAGAAATATTAAGAATTATAAGCAGCATATTCTGAAATGTGGAATCGGGTTCCTCCTTCTGAGCTCACGTCATACAGCTTCAGCAAGTTAGTGAACATTGCTTTCTAAATACTGCCTAGATTCCCTGGATATCTTGCTTTTTATTCCCACCCAAAACTACCAACCCATAAAAATCCACTGGCTAAAAAGCCTGAGTTAAAGGCATTCAAAATGGGAGGAGGACTGGAGAGAGCAAAAGATTGCCAAAGTTACTACCAAGTTGACAGTTCAAATGTAGTCAAAGATGCTGATATCCAATCAGTGTTTGGTGGCCTACATGAAATTAATTTGCAGTCTCGGTTTAGATCTTTGTAGACAAGACGTCCACATCACAGAAACCACCACCACACTTGACCCTTGTTGGTCATCTCAGCAGAGAGGCCAAGGACTGAACGGGCAGGGAGACTGAACTACCCTCCAGTTAAGGGTTAAAGCGCATCGGTGGGGCAACGTGTGGGAAGCTTGCACGGTCGCTGCCTGTGCTGTACCTTTTCTGTGGAATAAAGAAGACTTCAGTCTCCAGGGCTTTCAATCTGACACCTTTCACGAACACTAACATTCACTAAAAAAACAAAAAACAAAAAATATGTTCAATAATAAATCTCTGGGAACTGTAAACACAGCAGTGATTTTTTTGGAGGATTCTAGAGGTTTTAGTGTCTAAGAAATCACCAAAATGGACCCCAATGGAATCCTGCTAGTGTCATGTATTACGAACCTTTAAAAGTAACCAAACTAACAAACCTCAAGATGAGATTGATTTCATCTTCCTTGGTCCACTCAGTGCCCCCACTCTGTTTCCAGTTGAGATAGTTGAGCCATTTGGAGCGGCACTGCTTCTCCGAGCGCGTCCCGACCCGTTCGGCCACCGCAGCCCACGACACACCTTGTGTGACAATGTCGCCTGGCTCTGTGCTCGTCAGCTCATGCACTACTTCTGCCAACCTCTTCTCTTCTTTCTCTGTCCACTTCCCTGAAAGACACAAAAGCCATCCAGCTTAACTAACAGCAGGTGTCCTCTGCTCTGGTCCATAACACCTGATCAGACATCTGTCTTCAGTGCCTAACACCTCATTCCAGATGCACATGCTGACTTGTGAGGAAGATATAACTGTTCTTACTTACCAACAGTTTATAATATACCCATTCTTGATTTTAAAATGTCTAATTCCATTGTTTCACTGCCAAATTTCTCTTCCTCTTGCAGATGAACAAAGCCACGCAGAACTTAAAAAATACTGATCAAAGCAAACAAGTCTGAGCTACTTGAATTGTATTAGTTGAAGTAAATTACAAAATAAACAATACTTCACTCCTAAAGTACATCTGTCTCTTAACTGGCAAAAAATATACAGTGTATGTTTATGAACACTGAGCACAAGGGACAGTACTTTTTAATGCACTTCATTAAAATACGCTCCAGTGGCATAAACATGTGATGGATACCGGATAGCAAAAATAAACCAAGTGTTCTGATCTTTAACACATGAAACTGGAGAAACCTGTACCAAATGTGTTCTAAAAGTGTCCCCAGATTTCACACTGTAAGTTCCTCAGTTCAGAGTTACATATCTCTGAAAACACCACTGACAAAGGCAAAGGGGACTGAGTTTTAACTGGAACATTCATGAGTGACACCAGCATTTACCTCACCTGTGTTGCAGGTATCCTTCATCAATCTACAGCGGTCCTTCACAGATGAAGCACTTCTCCCCAGTGCAGCTCCTATTGTGGCCCAATCATTGCCATGCTTTACCCTCAGCCTAAAAGAAGATATGCTCATTAGCACTATATCCAGTTATGAGATCACCAAAATATCAAATATGCTCTAATAAAAAGAGTATAAATGTACAGTCTGCAGGCTTAAAGACAGAATGGGGAGTTAGTTCAACAATACAGTATTAATATTTTCTGTCCTCACTGCTGATTTTTCTATGTGTTTCTAAAAGCCTTCTGGGCCAGCTATCACAGGGAACTCCCTTATAAAATGCTTAATATCTAGCTGTATTGCAGGAATGTTGAGAGGCTTAGTTACTGTGTTACATACTACATGAATGTTTAGATAAACAGCCAGCATCCACTCTACACCAGTTCCTCAAGAATTTTCAGGTGGCAGAGAGATCACTTGAGAAATCTCAATAACACCTGATGAAAAACCCAGGCATCCTACAATTTAAATGAAGCAAACCACTGCATAATCATCTTCATAATTTTAACTATTATTTTCCTCCCACAAATGACAACAGGTTGCTTAACATGTTTAGCCACGATTAGTTTTGATGCATCTGGAACCCCAGGCACCTTGCAAATAACACAAACCAGAAAAATTGATCCAAACATCTCCATCAACACAATGAAATACACTCCCTTCCTTCAGTCCAACCTGGCCTCTCCAAACTGCTCAACCTGGGAAAGCTGCAAGAGGAGAAAGACCTGCAGCCCCTCCTCCACCTGTCAGCTTCACAGTCAAAATCAAAGAGCCTTACTGACAATTCACGTCTTCCTCCAATACTTTACAGGGGAGATCCTCCTCTTGACCTGCCACTTTCTTTAGAAATAACCTTTGCTCAGGATTTCCAAGGAAAGAGAAATTGTTTTTCACAAACAATAACTGCAAATGTTGACTGTGCTTGTAAAAATCTGAAATATTATTACTTTTAACAGAAAGCTTGCTTTAGAATTGTTTCATATTGCTTATATCCTGAATACATATTAGAAAATATTTTTAAAAAATCCAAACATAGTTTCATTTCTCTTCAGATCAATTTAGTGAGCACTATTTTCTGATAGAGATGGAGCAGTCATATTTCCTTTTAACTTTTCAGGGATGTAAAAACAGCTCAAGCTACTAAATATAAACAAGGTCGTGTGACCTCATTAATAAAACTACTTACTCTTTAAGCTTTTCAATTTCCTCAGGAGTATACCTAAGCAACAGGTAAATAAAAAGACAGCATTTTAAACAGAAAGCATACAGCACAAACATTTTTGGTTTACTAACTACACAGTACACATTTAGTTACAAGAAATTAAGGAATTTCAGCTCTAAGAAACAATCTGACTGAATGCTTCAAAAGAACAGGAAGAACAAATGTCATTTTCCACATTAGTGCATTTCTAAGGTTATCTGATCTAACATTCCTCTCATTTGCCAGCAAAAATTCCTCATTCTTGGTTATCTTACCACTAAGAACAGAATTAGAATTTTATTAATAAAAAAACCAGTTCTAAAATAAACACCTATTTTTCTCTCCCGTCTCAGTTCACAATCACCATAAGGCTGATTTTCCATTAACACAAAACAAAAAAAAGAAAAAAAAATAATCAAGATGGTATTTTTAATTTTCCACTCCTTTAAAAACTGAAATCTAACATCCTTTTCAGCACTTCTGGGTGGCACTGTACCCACTGCTTTACAGATGGGCAAACTAGGGGCACATGGATGAAGATCAATGGGCTAGGAAGAAACTAGAAAGAAAATAAAACTCAGGAGGATCGGTGCCTGTGTCAAAGTCTTCTAATCAGATCAGAATCCTCTCTGCACCTTTTTCTTTTAAAGCTGTGGATACCATCAATTAAACACAACTATTGTCAAGGTTGATCTACCAGAATTCAGCAGAGGCAGCATGGTTAGGAAGAGGTAGGTCTGTCTGGCTAGAATTTTGTGTCCCAGGTGTAACTAACATTAAATACACAACCCTCCCCCTACCCCCAAGCCCAGGCAGCATTAGAGGCTCTCATACTTCCCCACGTGGTTCCTGTCGTCGTACATGCGCAGAACTCTCCTGTAGACAGCAAAGAGAGGCCGATTCAGGCCCCACGCGATCGTCCTGTAGAAATCTTTTCTTTCATCTTTTGACATCTCAAATATAATTTCAGTGGCATCTTTTATTCCACGGGCCTACAAGAAAGTATATTTTTAAAAAGTAGTTAGGAAAAGCATTTAAAAAAAAAAAATCCGCAAACCATGAACAAAATACCTTAGACAAAGTCTCCAAGAAATCGAGAAGCAGAGCACTCCAGAACTGAAGCCTAGTGTACTATTATGCAACTTTCCATTTATCTCAAACACTACAGTCCAAAAGTTAAACTGAATATTTCTGAATTAGATACCTCAAATACAATCCCTTGAACACTAGGTTTTGTTTGGTTGGTTTGCTTCACTTTTTCTAGAACAGAACTTCTGTGTCTACCTGGACTCTAACTTTTGTTCACATTTACAAACAGTCTGTCCAATGTATAAGTTAAGATCAAAAATTGAACCATCATTGAGAACATCAGGGAAAACATGCTGTGGTGGAATTAGCCTGGGGTCATACAAGAGAAGGCTGTCAAACAGTGCTACATCAATTTATGACATAATATTCCTTGTCTGAAAGCAATTTTTTTCAATTAAATTACTCTTCTTGTTCTGACAGATTCAACAAATCAATGGAGTTAAGTATAAAAGGAAAGGTTTAGTTTAATGTCAACTTCTACTTTAAAATCAGTATATTGCAATTATTTAAAGCAGTACAAGAAAGTAAATAAGTGGAAAAATAATAAATCAAATGAGTTATCAGTAACCCAAAAAAAGTTATTTAGCTATCTTAATTTAAAACCCCGTATTACCTAGGAATGGTTCTGTGGCAGAAATTCTAATGGAGATGTGGGCAGGCACACTTTCTACAACTACTCATGAGGATTTTTGTATCAATAAAGACTAAATTCAGGGCATTTTGATCCACAAATGAAGGATGGTGAACCTGTAATATCCAGGCTATACATTCTCAGCTGTGAGGGCTCAGCTCAAATACTCTCAGCTGTAAGCCTACTGCAGATATGACACGGGCAATCCTCACTGTCAGCATGTGATCTGCGTGCCTATTTTTACACTGAACTCTGGCACTAATACATTAAGGGGAAGAAAGCATATACAGGCAACCTAGTAGTAAACAAATACACCCTTTAGCATAGTAAACAAATAGAGCTATGGCAGCAAAGAAGTCAGGAAGTTGTGTTCAATGCTTTGTAAGGAAAGTTGTCTCTATTCCTAGTTCAGTATTTTTCTTCTGTCTTTGCAGAAGGCTTCATGGGTGATGTGTTTTCAGAGAAAGAGATTAAGCCACTTGAGCATCCTGACACAAAATTTTCAGATGTGTTATATTCAGCACACAAATTAATAGCAATGTTCTATTCAGCAGTCTTAAATCTTGTGTATGGATAGAATTTTCTTATTTCAAATGGGTAACAACCATTTCTGCTACAGAGCCATCAGAATCACTTAGTGCCTATTCTGGGAAGTACTGAAGCAGGTTTCTAGCAGGAGCTGCATCACCACATCAGCTAGCAAATAACATATTCTAACACATACCTTTAAGTAACGCTCAATGTTACTCATCAAAATGTCAATTTCTTCCTTTGACCACATCCCTTGCTTCCACTTATGGCCTGAAAACAGAAAGAAACCAATTAAAAATCACAAAGTGATTAACTAATTAACAAAGTCAGCAAAAAACCAGAAATGTCAGAAAATACAACCCTCTTTATTGCAATTAACAAAAAGAGAGTAATTTTAGCTACTAGCTAGAATTTTAAACAGATGTTATGTCATACTTGATAAACATTAGTTGACAGTTACAAGGGATTGTTTAAATAATGTGAGTCAGACATCTCTTCAGAAACACCCACCTTCTTAAAACAGAACAGGAATTCCTCTGTGCTGTCAATTCACATTTTCAGACTTTCTCTTCAACCACAACTAGATAGATTTCTTTTCAAACTGACATCTGAAATTCCCATGCATTCAACTGATTGCAGAAGCTGGTACTTAAAATGTGACTCACAGTATTACTTGAGGCACTGGCAACAAACTGTTCCCGATGTCTCTTTTTTTTTGCATTGGGAATAATGCCTAGTGGTCACAGTCAAGATAAAGACTCATGGCAATTGTTTAATTTTTTAAATAAAAGTGGCAAAAAAAATAGAAGCAGACATTATGTTTTGCCTCTGTCTATGCCCTTCTAAGTAATTACAATGCTCCAGCTAAGCTTTAAAAGCAAAACCGATCCACCTTATTCTGAGTGAAAATTTTAAACCTGAGGTCCATCAATAAAACATTTAAATATTCCTACCATAAATTTATATGTAAATCCCCTCATGCTAATACCATACTTAATATTAATGATCACTTATAATTAAGATTATGCTGGTGACCCAGTTTACGTAGTGGTGTGTGCTGGCTACCTGCCCATCTCTGCTCAGAAAAATCAGAGTACTTCCTTCTCAGCCTGCTAATTACCAGAGCTGAGAGGCAGAACACACCACTGAGACTGTTTACTCAAATCCAATTATAATGAAAAGCACAGGCATTATTACTAATTCTCTTGGAACTGATGAGGAAAAAAGTGCCCGGTGGCTTCAATCTCTTTTTCCAAAGCTACAGAGACAGAACAATAACCTACTCCTGTCGCTGGGATTCACTCTTCTGTCCCAGCACCTGAACTGACTTACAGGGACACTGCTACTCTTTACATGGAACAACCTTTAATACCCAAGTATTTAAGAAAGGAAGTCTATTTTTGATTTATTTATTATGATTTACTGCCTGTTAAAAGTAACTGTTAGTGCACACTTGGGATCAGTGAGTGGTCACTGATGAAGTTGCTCAGCTCCCTTTCTCTGAATTTTCCACATCCAACACCCAGGTTCTGTGTGCCTCACCCACAGTTTTTCACTGGCTCAGCAGACACTCAGCTCTCTGGAGCAGAACTCACTGGGTAAGAGATAATTTGCTTCTGTGAAGAGAAAACCACTGCTTTTTTTCCTAAAGTTTTCCAATACAAATGGGAGTTGCTTTGGACTCAATGAAAAAGATATTTATTTTTTTTCCCCTAGAAAGAGGTAAAGTCAGGGTAAGAAAAATAGTAGAGAGACTGAGGAAAGTGGAAAGATAACACAGCTTTATTTGATACTAAGTTGTTTGCATAGGTTTAGAAAGGCACTTCCCCTAGGGGAAAAGAAAACAAAAAGGCTCTGAAGTTCAGCAGCTACTACAGGACTGCACAGATACGTTTGGAAATGGAGGAATGCCAATGGAGTGGCAATTTTAGGAGTAGCAGGGATTACTTCAGTAGATACCAGTTTGCATTATCCCTCTACCTCAGAAGCAGGTCCATTCCAGAAACTGTTTAACATGAATCACAACACAGCAGCCAGACTAATGAGCCCTACTCGAGGAAGAATACACTAACCTGAGCACAGGTGATTTTTGCCCTGGTGTATCCCCCCTCTGACTGCAGCTGCCCATCTCCTCATGAGGTAGAAATGCAAAGGGAGCAAATACAACTCTCTGCCACATCTGTGCTGACACACATGATCTACAGTTCTCCAGCACTACCACTAGAATCACTGTCACCACTGCAAGCAAGACCTCTCCTCTTCTCCAAGTGTATCTGGAGTTCCAACTTTCTTCTTGCACACAAAGTTGTAGAGGGATGGTGAATACTTGATGCATTAGATCTCTCAACATTTTTACAGTCTTCGAAAATACCTTCACTAAAAAAGCCAGACCAGAGATTGCTTTATGCTCCCTGCAGAATGTTCTGAGGCATTTGGAACAGCTTACCTTCATACAGAGTGAGAGAACTGCATTCGCAATAGCCTACCTTTGTTTGTCAGAGAATCCTTATCTTCTTTGGTTGTGAACCAGGCTTGACTAACAGCTGACACTTCTTCATTGCCCATTGGGGAGATTTCATCCAGCTGTTCATTCTGCAGAATCTTGAAAAGACCAATGTGAAATCATCCAGTAAGATCTTCAGTTCTTCCCATCACTTTGCATTTAACACAGAGGTGTAACTTGAGTGAGAATGAAACCAGCACACCATGCTGAATGAAACCAGCACTTACCTTGCTGACTGCTCACAAAGTGCCACTTTTAGATACAGCATTGAAAACACATTCACTTTTCTTAAAATACACAAGTAAGATTTAGCATCCTAACATACAGAGAATATCTGAGAATTAGTTAGACAACAATCTTCATCCTGTTTAATGTACAGTGAACAGGAAGAGTCTCACTGGCTTTGCTGGGAAAAGCATCTCCAATCCAGAACTTTTAAATGTGGTACAGCCACAACAAGAACTGTATGTAACCGTTAGGACTGGTGACAAGATAAAGCACATTTAGGCCTATCATCAAGCTTAATTTATAATCAAGGAATAACAGAAATAACATAAACTTCTCTTCTACGCAGTCACCACAGAGCAAGTGATTATCAGTGGGGGGTTACATCTATTACTATTTACTGCATTGCTCTTTGAGCAGTAAGTTACACTACAACCTCTTTCAGATATAAAATGATTCAATTGCACTTTTATAGAACAACATTTTAAAACCAAGATCTGTGCTCAAATACATTAGTTTAATAATAAAAATAACCTTATTCATTTAATAAGCCCTTTCTGCTATTCATTTCCCTTTTCTTTTCAATTTAAGTAAAAATGTACATCAAATGGGTCAGCTTTGAAGTTTACTGTACCTGAATCTGAGTAACAGTTCCTTCGTTAATCTCATCTTCAGCTACCTCAGTGGTAGCAGTCATGGTCACCTCAAAGCTCTGATCATTTTCTGAAACTTCAGAATGGGTGAGTTAGTTGTATACCTTACTCCTGTAACATTTTTTGTGCCTGCTAAAGGTTTTATAAATTGCCACCTCTGCACTGAAAATTTTACAGAGGCTTTATTCAGTATTTGTTTGTTGGCACAGCAAAAGAATCAAACTGATTATCAACTGTTCTGCTTCATAAAATTTAAATATGGGTTTTGAAACCACCAGTTTTACACCTGAATGTAACTAAGACCTAAAGAGAAACATATAAATAAAAGATGTTTGATTTGGTGCAAATATTTGACACTGTATTAATGCTTCCCCTCCAGCTCTATCTTCAGCTTTCTCCTATCACTAAAGGACAATGTTCAAATCCTTTGGCTGCATTCTTTCCCCAGAGTCTTCTTTCAAGATCCTAATGCCTTCACTTGAAAGGAGTTTCAGCTAAGTTTCACCAAATAAACAACTACTCTAGGTATCACAAATTGGTATTTTAACTTGCTAGATCTGGTTTTGCCTTCTTTTGGGAGATTATATTGAACTACCTAACATGTAGTTAACATCCTTAAGACTAATTCAGTATTCAGCCTACCTTTTGTGTAACAATCTCTACCTTGAAAAGGTACATCTCAATACTACAAACCACAGAAATATTGCCTAAAGAAAACCTGATTGCTCTTTGCAAGAGGAGAACATCCAGTTTGTTGTTAGCCCTCTATTTACTCACTGCACCTGTCCCTCCGGCCCTCTATCTGTAAGGCAGGTTTATTCTGTCAGTACTACATAGATAACAAGTGCACCAAAACCATACAAGGCTCCCAGAAGTAAAGATAATACCTAAGTATATAAATAAATTTGAAAATAAAATATACAGACTATGCTAATGTGATCCAAAGAATCCCCTTCGAACCTTCAGCAACAGAAACATTTCCTACAAGAGTATATAAACTTCAAAGAACTTACTTGGAACTGCAACAACAGAAATGCACGGAGTGGAATCATCAAGGCTTTGATCATCCTCTGATAAGCAAAGCCTCTTGGGTGGAGGTTCAGTGCTGTCTTCAGAATCTACTTCATCAGCTTCTAACAACAAAAACATACACAAGTTACTTTCTGTTAACAAAGTGGAGTTTTGGGCCAAGTTCTGTTAACAAAGTGGACCACAACAAGAGGTAGAAGCAAATGGGACAGGTTGGTTCAGTGCTTTGCTACTGCCCAGGAACCTGGTCTGAGTTATGGGCAGTAACAGTTCACATAGTTTTTTCAACATACATTTTCTGTGATATTTTCTTTTTATTTTTCATCCACAGTCCACCGCACACAAACAAGCTCCTCAAGACTAGAGAAATTTGGGTACATGCTTGGTTCCAAGAACCCATCTGCACTGACATATATCAGAACAGCTACACCCTTGTTGGGTACATACATGCAAAATTTTGCCATTGATTGCAACCAGGCTGATGCTTTATCTCTCTTTAAACTGAAACAGAACAACCTGCAGCACAGGAAACTGAATCCAAGTAGCTCACAGAAATATGGGGCAGGGAAGTGTGATGGTTGAATCAATGCAAAAAGAAGAAAAAACACTATGTGATACAATTCTGTACCATTTTGAGGGCAATGAAGTATAAGGTTCCCTTCAGTGTCCTGAGTCAAAGTCACAGAGTTCACGGTTTCTACTGTCACTGTGTCAGACTCCTCTTCAACTGTGCTCATACTCAAACCTGAAAGAGCAATACACAGGTTACTCTTCTTCACTCAGACTCCCACTCTTGACCGTCGTGCTGCTTCCTGCACCTCAGCCCAGCAGCGCTGGCTCCCACAGAGCGTGACGAGGGCCCTGGCTGCCCTCACACGGACAACCCCGCGGCTCGAGACACCCACCTGCCTTTCCTTTCCCTGCATACACCCCTCAGACATTTCAAAGCTACTTTACCAATTAAAAATAGTACCTAAACTCCCTAACTCATGAGCATTTGCAATCTACTGCTTGTTTTGGTTTTGTGGTTAGTGGTTTTTGGTTTGGTTTTTTTTTTTTTTTTTAAATGCAAACCTAGGCTATTACTTTTCTACGTCTGATATTTTTTTGTCTTACTAATATTTGTTCCACTGCTCATTTGATAATTTTACTATTCTATAACCTAAAGCTAGTCAAGACTGAGAAATATTTCTTGTGTCATACTACTCATAGTTGTAGTATTTATAGATTGCCCAGCAGCAAAGTTTTGTTCTCCTTCCATGCATACGACTAAATATGAAGCTAGTATTTTTTATTTAGCATTGAAACATGAGCAACAGAAAAAAACTGGATGCAAGCAAGCACCAATATAAAAAATGACCAGAAAGTTAGTTATCCAGGATAAGCATTATGCACTGAAGTCAGTGAACCAGAGCAAGTGCTTCTGGTGATCTCATTTCCACTGTGAAACTACTACAAAGAAACCCAAAGCTTCCAAGAATTTCTGTGTAAACTACCACAATTTTTGAAAGGAAATGAAACCCCACCAAAATTTTCTAATCCATCAAATACAAAGACATGTAACCTTTTCTGCTGCACAAGTTAAATGGAATCACATCTAAAATCTCCAGGAACTCTGCAATGATCTCATCAGTCTCGAGCACTTGGGTTTGGTGACTATCTTTGGCAGAGCTTAAGAAAACAGCATCTATTTCTTCTTGAAGTGCTCAGTCCTTTTTATGAGTTTTCTCATGTCAACAACAGAAAAAAAATATATAGCTTTTAAAACCACAATATTGTTACCAACAATTTTAACTTACATTTTTTAAAAAATCATTTACTATAGCTTTTAATTTTAAAAAAAATTTTAAAAAATCACAATTAGATGGCAAACCTTCCATGTACCAGGCCAGCACACACACATACCCATACACAAGTGGAATTTACAACACAGACTTTAAATTCCCTGTATAATGTTAATAATACTGCTTCAGCAGGGAAAGACTTAATTTTTAATCCGAAAACCTGTACTTTGATATTGAAGATTCCCCAGAGCAGTCTCTTCGTCAAAGTATAAAACCACTTCCAGTCTTTCAATAAAATTACTTATCACCTCTCAAGCTTGATGAAGATTTGGCACATCTTTAAGCACACGTAGTGACTGATGCCTAGAAAAAAAGTGATGGTACCCTCCTGAGCATGTCAAAAACTTCAGATACTGCTGATGTTTTAAATCAGAGTATCTCCAGTTTACTTTCAGATCTACCATTGCAACAGAGCCTTGCCACATGCAAGCGTAGAAGGCAATAACTCCCTTGGGATTATCTGCTCCTGAGTTTTCCATCCTGCACCCATCCTTCACTAGAAGTGATGTTTGCTGCACGGCCATTGTACTGACTTTCAAGAACCAAGAGGCATCTCTAGCTCCCAAACATGAAGAAAGAAATCCAAAGTGTTACAGCTGAATTAGCAGACTGTAACCTCAACTCAGTTTTGAGTTATTAATTTAATTTTTTTGGGAGTGAGCAAATTGGATAATTCTGGAGAGACAGAAGAAATAGATAAGATTCTCCTTTTTCCATGTTCACATGTACTTTCTGAATAACTTCTACTACAGGGAATGCTGTCTTAAAAGTTTCCCAAGTTACCTGAAATGCCACAGAGGACTCTTCTTTAATTACATCTGAAGAGATAGCAATAAGATTTATTTTTCTACAATCAGTTCAAAGTATGTTTTTCTTCTCACTACTACAAAGGCTTGAAAGACACAAAGACTTTTTAAAAAAACACATGATGTCAATCAGGTACTCCACCTAAAGCTGATCTAGAAGCAGCAGAAACTATAGCACCATCCACAGCAGATCATTCCTTCTTTTTATTGAAAGAATACTAAGAACTTAATTCAGGTATAGCAAAAGCTGAGCTATCCTTTCATGAGTTACTCAGGATTTCCTGAGAATCAAAAATACAATTATGCTCCCCAGTCCAAACCACAGAGCAATTAGGTTTGTCCATTTGCATTCTCTGCCTCGCTGGTTTGCTGTGTTAGAAAAGGATACAGCATGGAAGGGGTCCATGCATCCAAACCTGGCTGTTCCACCAAAGCTGGGGAGGAAGATACATCATGATCAACAGCTGTTGCCCTACAGAGCTGTAGCTAGGCTCTAGACTTTAGGTAACTGAGGTACCCCAACTAACAGCAGCACTGACTCTTCTGATCAAGTCAGATGTCTATTCTTGTCTGCTGGAGTTCCCAGGCACTCCTTACACTGAAATCTGTGTGCAGCACACTGTGAGAAACTGCCATCTCCTAAGAAGCAACTCCTCGATGGGATCCCCAGACTGAGCAGTTTGGGAATTTTTTGCCAATCTCCCAAGAACAGTTTATCCCAACAGTAAGAGCAGGCTCTCTAGAAAATGTAATAATGTTCTGTGTCAGATACTTGACACAAGTTTTCTGAGTAAAGGTAATAACCATAATCAAGTGTTTTGCTTCATGGCAGGATTCCAAGTACAAACACACTCTAGTTTAATACATAAAAATAACATGCTTTAATATATAAGATATACTTCTTACTATATTTAAAAAGGACAGATAAGCAGACTAGTGATGCACTGGTTCACGACCGTAAAGCAATGCAGGGATTAAGAAAAGGATGTGTCACCAATTACCACTTCAAGACCTTCACTTGGGTTCACACTTCAGCTGGGAAGCCCCTCGGCAGCCGGCCCCTGGAGATCCCTGGTAACTGGCAAGGTCCTACACGGTGTGTCCACAACTGACATGTATTAACTGAATGCTCCAAAAGGCAGGGTTCAAAGAACTGGGAACTTTGTCCACATATTATTCCACTGGTAGCATATGAGCATAGATCCAAATTATATGTATTGTTCTCATTATCTAAATATATTCTTTCAAAGTGGGGTAAGCATTACTCAAATATGGAGTACTGGATGTTCTTTAAAAATAACAGGTAAAACTATAACCTTGCACATAACTTTAAATGGCTGACTTACACTGAAATGTGTTACCTTTCCTGAACAGTAAGAGTCAGTACAGTGTACAGTTACAGGTGAAAATAAAACCCAGTGTGTTTCAGGAATCCATTGTTTAAATACAGTCCTCCAAATTAATGATTACTCATTAAACAATTTTGTGCTTTGTTTTGTTGAATTAACATATATAGTGTCTGCATCTCCTATGAAGATATCAATTTTCATCCTTTCCTCCTTTAAGTGCTGAACGCAATCCCGTAAAGTGTACCAGGGGTGACCCCCCAGGGCCAATCTCCTTCCACAGGCCACCTGCCACCGCAGCTGCCAAGGCCAACGGGCTCATATCTGCCTGATCTTCATGCCAAAAGTTACCCTGCACAAACGAGTTGGGGCTCAACATCACAATTTTTCTGCTATCTACATCATCGAGGGCAACTCCCGATACCCCCTAAGCTCTGCAGCCGCACCATCCATGTAAGCAGCAATTCCCCAGATTTCTGTTGAAACCACTCATTAATAAACACAACTCCATTCTGAGTAAAAAACTCCAGCACAACTCACCTCAGATTCTGCCCATCTATTCCTCACTCTAACTTTCTTCTAACAACGGCTTTTACTTCTGTATCCTCAGAGGGGGGTTCTTGGCCTGTACTACTACCTGAATCAGTCAAATCCCAGACATCTCCATCCCACCGTGTTCCTGCCTCGGCAACCACAGCATGCATCTTCTATTCATACCTCCCCATCGCTTTTGGTTTTATACTGGGGGACCCTAACAGCTACATTTTCTGCCAGTCTGATACACACCCAATTTATCTGCCAGTAAATGATTCTGACACTGCAACATAACTATTTTACCCTGCAAATCATGTATCTGCTTTTCCAATGCTACTGTCTAAACAAACAACCTATCTCGTTGCTGATGCTGTTTCGTATAAGCAGTAAAAACCCACCCAGGCTGCCCTAATCGGTATTTTCTGTGTGCATTTTACTACATCAAGAGGTTCTGCTTCTGCTGAACACACATCCCAACCTCCACGCAGTCCAGCACAACTCCGTCCTCCACACACAGCTGAGGCTTCAGAAGCCAGCCCAAAAGTCTCCCACTTTTTATAGTAAGTAACAGATGTTTTGCCCTTGTCTCCTTAGCACAAGTCAGTTGGCCGCGCAGGCTGTTCTGCTCCCACTGTCAGTCCCATCTGGGACACTGGTCAGGTGTTCCAGTATGACTGAGAAGTGACCATGCCGTCAGCACACAATATAATATTGTGCAGATGTTCATGTTACTGTTTGCAGAGGTAGGTAATTACAGAAGCAGTTATCAGTCGTAAGCAGTAATCAAGTATTCTCATCGCAGTAAGCCGCAACAAAAATTTGGTAAGAGCCAAATCCCTGATTTAACTGGGAAATTCCTGTTAGCTGCAATGGATGTGAACTTGGACCTCAACTGAAACCCGACTGTAAAAACCATGAGGAGTCATGTCAAAGTCAAATGCATATTTTGGACATTATTTTTTATTCATTAGATAACATTAATACCAGAAAACTGAAGGAAACACTCTTGGTTCTTTCAAGATACATTCAGACCAGGACAGGAGTGCTGATGAAGACTTGAATTAGTGACAGAAAGGGGAGGGGGAAAAAAAAATCTCAAGTAACTGCAGTGGCACTTCTCTGTGAGTAGGAAACAATCTCCAGCTCTTACACAAATCACTACTTAACATGTAAATAATGGGAGAACTAGCCCACACGTGGAGTACGCGTCAAATAGGACGTATGATGGGACCACCTGGAGTTCTGGGCGAGCACCGAGGAGGATGCAGTGCTGCTGCAGGAGCCAAGGCCCTCCACTGCAGCTTCTTGGGTCCCCGCCGCAGGGACACCGCTGCCCCATGTCCTTCATTTTCCACGGGAGGAGGGCTGTGGCCGTGCTGAACAATGCCACAGCACCACAGGTCCTGCAGGACGTGCCACGGCAACGCTGCTCAGCACAGGCACCCGCACAGCCCCGGCACGTCTGCTCCAGGCACTCACCACAAAGTTATGACAGCCAATGCTGCTTCATTAGTGAGCACTACGACACGACTAGTCTCGGCACCTCCAGAGTATCCCTTTCTCTTCAGAACCTAAGGATGCTTTTTATTGAAAATAAAAGGCTTGCTTTAATTTTAAATGCATGACCCAAGACTTTCCTTTAATCCTCTATTCAAAACCTACTCTTTATAGAGATTCTGATCTACCACAAATATTTTATGTTCTGAAGGAGGGTGTTAGCTCATGGGGGAAGGGACACACGCACTCTGAATGCTGTGGATGCGGATGACAAAGTGCAGGAAAGACAAAATAATCTGAAATTTCTAAGATAGCAGCTTAGAAATCAGTGTCAACTTAATAAGCATTTTTTGACTTGTTAGATTTTTGCGTGCAGTTTCCAAATCCTAAATTTTTAAGAGTTCGACATGCAATCAAACAGGAAAATATTTCCCTAGAAGAATCATTTAATACAGAATTCCAGTACAATTTTCCACTAAAGCCACACAATTCCACAGTTCTGATTTATCTGGGAAACGTGCAGCAGATTTAGGCAGATAAAACCCACAAACCTGATTTTATATCAAGTTACAAAAATTTTAATATTTTTATACAAAATGCCTGACATTTGAAATTGACTTCATCAGGTAGATGGGCTCAATTATTCTGTGGGCTGTAAAAATTAAGCACTGCTAAGAAATAGTATTTTTACCATTGTAGATGGAATTCTGCCATGATGACTGCTTATTAATTGAATGTTACATCTAGTCATCTGTAGACTGTTACAATTTTTTTTTAAAATCTCTACATTAAATTGTATTAAAGGCTGCATTCTCTGCACTGTGCAAAAAGTAAAAGTCTATTCCACTAAATCCTGTAGGAAGGAAAAACTGAAGTTTATTAAGGGAGGCTTCTGGCTACTGAGGCACTTAACTGGAACAATCACATAGGATGCACTGGGGCTTCAAGGCATTCAGTCAAGAATAACACAAAGGAAACAAAGTCATTATGGGATCCCATATCCCTCAGATTTAAGGAAGCTTGAATGTTTAGTATGTTCCACACTATGTTTCTTCTGTAGTCAACACTTTCAATACATCATCGGGAGTTTTTACTATTCAAATAGTGACAGTTCTCTGAATCTATTATTCGGAAAAAAAAATCCTTTTCTCCACACAGAATAGGTTCTGCTCAAATCTAAAAATCCACCACAGAAATTTTCTTTAACAGCTACAGCAACAGATACAAAAGGGAACCAAATGGGAC